GACCTGCCCTTTGAGGTGGGCCTTGCTTTCTTCTAGTTGACACCTTTACTGCTCTGTGGACTCACCTAGCTGATTGTGATATAGTGTGTGATCTTTGCTGCTAACCCTGAAATCTCTGAAGCGAAGAGAGCTTTTTGTATGCTGAGGTGACTGGTGGCTAGGGGAGGGGACTGCGTCCCTAGATAACTTCAGGATGGGGGTGGTGGCCAGAAAGACCAAGCATGATTAAAGGGTTAGAACTTTCAGCCCCATGAGGAGGGTAGAGGGACTGGAGATAGCCAATGATTTATCGATCGTGCCTATGTAATGAAACCCCTGAATGACAGAGTGTGAAAAGCACCCAGGTGGTGCTTTCAGAGAGGGTATGGAAGCCCTGTGCACCTCAACCCTCTTATCTTGCCCTATGTACCTCTTCCATTTGGCTATTTCTGAGTTGTATTCTCTATAATAAACTGATCATTGCAAGTAAAGCCCTTTCCTAAGTTCTTTGAAACCTTTTTCTAGCAAATTACTGAACCTGAAAGGGAGGGAGTTGTGAGAACACCTGATTTTGTAGCCATGGTGCATGAAAGAGTGGGTACTCTGGGCACCCAGTACTGGCAACTGGCACCTGAAGTGAGGGGCAACCTTTTGAGACTGAGCCCTTGACCTGTAGGATCCGGGGTTAACTCAGTTAGTGTCAGTATTGAGTTGAATTGTTGGACACCCAAGTGGTGTCAGAGAGCTAGAGAACTAACTGGTTGTTGGCATGGAAAAACCCCACACATTTGGTATTAGAAGTCTTATAAGAAAAAATATTTCAGACTCATGTAACCTGACTGCTCCATTTTGAGTCTAATCCTGGGTAGGGAAAGGAACAAGGGACTCATAACGGTGGTGATTCTATTCCATGTTTAGTGAGAAACCTCTCAGATTGTTATTGTTTAATAACCTGGGGAACATCTGTTCTCTCACCGCCAATCAAATTAGCTGACAAGGACTGATGTCAGTATTTATAACTCCAAGTATTTCCGCTTGCCCCTTGCAGAAAGGAGGGAACAGTTGCAGGAAGCTCAAACGAGAGACATGAGAGTGGCAGGGAGGATTGGATTCGCTGAAGTGGCAGCCAGTACCTATTGGGGGAAGGGGCTGGAGTGGTGGGACATGACCCCCTGGTTTCTGACATGGAGAGAAGATATGAAGCAATTTTAAATTGAGAATATCCTCGCAGGCTCTGTCAACAGTACAGTATGCCATAGAACCAAGTAATTTCATCATTATTCACCAAACTTTCAATTGCGTCAGCTAACATTTGTGTTCTCACTCTAATGAACTTTTTTTTAAACTTTAAAATGATCTTTTTATTTTATTTTTTAATTGAATTTATTGGGGTGACAATGGTTCACAAAACCATACAGGTTTTAAGTGTGCAACCCAACAAAACATGATCCGCACACCGCATCATGTGCCCATCACCCCAAGCCAAGTCTCTCCGTCCCCATTTTACCCCCTTGGCCCACCTCCGCCTCCCCCCACTCCCTTTTCCCTCTGGCTATCACTGTTGTCTGTGTCTATATGTTTTATATATATGTATATATTTTGCTTATATATATTTAAATATATAGTATATATTTTTTTTTGCTTAATCCCTTTACCTTTTCATCCAGCCCCCAACTCCCCTTCCCTCTAACAGCTGTCAGTTTATTCCATGTATCCATGCCTCTGTTTCTGTTTTCTCCTTCAGTTTATTTTGTTCATCTAATGGACTATTGACTTAACATGCCTCCTGTCCTAAGGAGCTCTTAGCACATCAAAGGGTTGTTTTTTAAATCTAGCCTAATTACCAGAATTGCATTCGGGGCTGTCTACCCAGGCCAAAGTCTTCCTCCCACTGTCTCTGGGCCCCAGTTCATCATCATTTTAGAATGGTCACCATCCATGGCATAATCTGGTCATCTGAGGTCCTGAGAATGAAGGTGTTTGAACTTATGGGCAGGAGAGCAAGCTGGAAGGCTGGTTAAACAGATGGCTGGGCCTCAGCCCCATTTTTCTGATTCAGTGAGTCAGGCATAGGGCCCAGGAATTTGCATTTCTCGCAAGGATGTTGTTGCTAGTTCTCTTAGTTCCAGAGTACACTTTGAGAACCAACAAGAAAAGGGGAACTCAGCTGTGAGGTGAGGGCAATGAAGGAACTAGATCAGAATCTGGAGCTCCTTTGATCCAGGGCAGGAGCCACCCTTCCTGTCTGTCGCTGGTGCCTGGCTGAGCGCCTACGCACCCTGGATCTCAGGCAGGAAGTGCCCAGGGCCACAGTCTCTGGTTTTCTTACTGCAGGAAGAAAAGGGCCTTCTTCCCAGGCTTCTTTTCCAGTTCATAAGCGGAAGGCTCTCATGCTCCCACCGAAGGAAATGTAACACTTAAGTAGGAAGAGATCTGATGCCCTTTACCCTCAGAAACTGGTCCTTAGCACAGCATTTCCTTAGCCAGATATTTGGGTATTTTTGTATTTTCCAGCCTTCCCAAAGAAAAGGTTTGAGAATATTTTGCTGGGAGTCAGGGAACAGAGGTAGGAAAGAGTGTGTGCGAAGAAGGAAGGAAGAGAGTTCCCTGGGGTCAGGGCCCATTAGGGCACATCAAGGACTTAACGTGTTCAACCCCTACCTCTGCTAGACTCCTTCGGGTGGAGAGTCCAGGAGCTGTCTCCACTGCACTGGCCCCCACTGCCTCCTTACTCTATGCCCCTCAGCATGGCATGGTCCACTCGTCTAAAGGTCCTGCTGCCTTAAGCTGCTCAGCTCCTCAGGGTTTGCCCGAAGGCAGACCCACAGCCAGCCTTAGGGGAGGGTGCATACAAAGAGCAGGGGAGGGCAGAACTGGATGAGAATCCCTGCCTTGTCATTTACTGTGCTGTGTGACATACCCTCTGGAGCCTCAATATTTTGTCTATAAAATGGGGATAATGCCTTCTTCCTGGATTGATACAAGGATCTGATGAAATCATGTTTACCTGGAGCATAGGTGCTCAGTAAAAGATGGCTGCCATTGTTAGTAGTATTAGTATTATTAGAGCGGGGGCAGGGAGAGGCTACCTTCAGGGACCTCAGGTAATGAACAGGAAGGGTCCCAGAAGAAGAGAGAAGTGATGGGAGTGCCTGGGAGGGTGCTGGGCGGTAGCGTGTGGGTGGCACCAAGTGAATGCTGGGGCTAAGGTTCAGTGGGGTCAGGTGAAGAAAGAGAGATCCAGCTCCTTGACTCTGTCTTTTACCAAAATGTGAGTCCATGTGTGTGCACACTCAGCATGTGACTAAAGGATTAATGGTCCACAGTGTCTGAAGGAAAAAACAACTACAAACATTTAGAGTAGTTATATGGATATGGTAACTCATAGATCTTTCTAAATATCTAAATATTTAAATATCTAATATCAGTCTAAATATCATTCTTTGGTTAGAGGACATAGGAGACCTTACAGGCTTGGAGATGACCCCAGAACATCCTGTGGTGCCAGAAAATAGTCATTTTGCTGAGGTGCCAACAAATGAAGAGAGCATGTCCAAAAGACACAGGCCAAACAGAGAGGGCTCCCCTGGGGCCATCACGGAAGTGACGGGTTGTGATCCACAGTGTAAAGTAAGAACTCATCAGCCCACACTGACATCGATATGTAAATGAACGATTAGTGAAGGAAGGACAGCTCTTCTTCACAAATTCTGGAATTTACAGAATTATTAGAATTCTAGCTAAGAAATGTAGAAGAAAAGTCACCCTTTGGCAAATGCCACAGTAATAATTGTTTTTCAGGAGAATCATCAGTGTATGCTAAAATTAGTAAGTAAAATATGATAAGAAACAGGATATGAATAGCCTCAAAGTATCTCCCACAAGGTAATGATTAATTACAAAGGGGAAGTGGTAACTTTACAGTGAAGAATCCTGGCAGCCACCTTAACCAAGTGATCAGTTAATGTCACCAGTAGTGACCAAGTCAGCATCATGTGCCTCTTGATATAAAACACTGAGATGGACACGTCATATCTGTACTATTCTTGTCAAAAAAAAAAAAGCACAATCTGAATTTAGTCCTGTGAAAACATGAGACACCTAAAATAAGGGACACTCTACAGAATAACCTAGCCAGTACTTCTTCAAAAATGTCAAGAAAATGAAAGACGAAGATGGAGATAGTGTTCCACGTTAAAGGAGACTAAAGAGACATAATGCCGAATGGAGCCTGTGATTCTGGGTTGCATCCTGAACCACCAAAGGGAGGTTAGCAGGACAGCTGGTGGAGAATAGTATTGTACCATATTAATTTCCAAATGTTTACCATTGTGCTGTGATTATGTAACCTGGCTCAGCTAAGGGAAGATTCTTAGAAAGGGCCTCCTTTCCCTTCCATAGCCCTCCTGTTTAATTCTATGCGCAGCCTTGACTGTATTGGAAGGTAATTATCCTCTTTCTTCCTTCCTGTGGAAGTTTCAGAAATCAGGATTTTACCATATTTTGTCATGTATAATGCGTACTCTTTTGCCCAATTTTTTTAGGAAAAAATAAGCATGGGCAATACTAAAATGTGGGCATGCATTATATGGTAGTATCTAGGAGACAATTCTCCTTCTTCTTTTTTTAAGATTTTATTCATTTAGTCCTGGTTGGTGTAGCTCAGTGGATTGAATGCTGACCTGCGAACCAAAGGGTGGCCAGTTTGATTCCCAGTCAGGGCACATGCCTGGGTTGTGGGCCAGGTCCCCAGTAGCGGGCACTCTAGAGGCAACCACACATGGATGTTTCTTTCCTTCTCTTTATCCCTTCTTTCCCTTCCCTCTAAAACTAAATAAATAAAATATTTTTAAAAAGGGTTGTATTTATTTAGTTTTAGAAAGAAGGGAAGGGAGGGAGAGAAACATCTATAGGTTGCCTCTCCCATACCCTCAACTGGAGAACTGGCCCACAACTCAAGTATGTGCCCTGACTTGGAATTGAACCAGCAACTTTTCAGTTTGCAGGTACTCTATCCACTGAGCCATACCAGCCAGGACTCTAGGTGGCAATTCTTTTCAAGTCCTTGATTAATGTTTTTGATGGAAGGCAAGTACTGTCACCTGTCCATCATGCGACATGTTCAACTGTCCTTGCAACTTTGCACGCACCAAGCAACTAGAGCCAGGGCACTTGGGACTATGTGCCCTGAGCCAGCCCAGCTCCCTGCCAGTTGGTGACAGCTATTCCTTTCTTCAGGAGGAAAGAGGAGCTGAAGTGAGGTTACAAAGTCAGCAGTAGGACTTTGCAAGCTGTTCACAGGGTCTATGAAGCTCCCGGAGCCCAAGGATGGAGCTGGATTGTGGACAGAGCCATTGGAAACTTTAGAGCCTTAAATGACTCCAAATGTAAACAGCCTACTCTTAATGAGACCCATTCCCATCAATATATAACCAGGCCATTTTTTTTAAGTCCTCACCCAAGGACATTTTTTCATTGTGTTTAGACAGACAGGGTAAGAGAAAAACATTATGCAAGAAAGGAGCATCGGTTGGTTATCTCTCCTACTCGCCCGAACAAGGGATCATATGCATCTGGACCAGCAATCAAACCTACAACTAACTATGTGCCCTGACCGGAAATAAAACTTAAAACCTTTCAGTTATGGGACAACACTCCAACCAACTGAGCCACCTTGGCCAGGTCCTGACCATTTTTAAAAATGTTACAAAGAGTTTTCATATTTTTTTTCATAGCACCCTGACCAATTTTTTATGCCAGTAGAGGCGAGCATTCACCCCGCTTCACTGATGACAAAGCTAGCCTCAGCTAGGGGAAGTGGTTTGCCCTGGAGGCTCCGCCAGACAAAGGCAGAGCAGAGACCTAAATCCAGGCCTCTTGACCAATGTCACTGTTCTCACTGTGCAGCACTGCCCTTCTCCAGGGAGCTGTGTTCTCTCCTCCTGTCATTGTCCTGTGGGCAGACGTCACAGTCCTCAGAAGGTTAGCTCATCTGGGATTGAGGGCCATTCAATCCCAGTGCATGTAGTCTTACTGACCTACTTATGGCTAAGGAACCAGGCAGCCTCTTTCCCAGAAATCAGACTCAACCTCTCAGGCCAAGTGGTAGATTTCCACCCCCATTATGGTCCTATAATTGATGCTGAATAGGAAAACAAAGAGTCATAGAAATTTAAAATTAGTTGTACAATCACTTCTGGAGATAAAGGATATTCTTCATGGCGTGGTTTCACTCCTCCTGTAGGAGGGGCACTTTAGAGGCCAGTGAAACAGTAGACAAGCCAGGCTGGCAGGGGTAAGGTGGGGACATGTGACCAAGTCCAGCGCTGGCTCTTGTTCTGCATACTGGTGCTTCCACTCTGGCCACTGATTCCTTCCTTTGCCTCTGTTTTCCCATCTGTAAAATGCAAAGCATATTAGTTGTTAGCAGAATTAAGGAGCAAATGACTGCTTAAAATAAAGAAATACTGAATTTCTAACATTAGACTTATATAAGGGGGAACCCCCCAAAACCGGACTTATCTTCTGGAGAGCCAGTCTTTTGTAGGAAAGGCTTCCCCTACTAGGTGAGTGTTCTAGGAACCCATCTGTATCACTGTACCAGCTCGCATTGTTGTGAGAGGCTGTGTTAGGCTTCAGTAAATTTTTTTTTTGGAAGACTCTTTCAGTGCATTTGCCTATTTCATGATGGGTGATTTACAGGCACACCTGCCCACACTCTGCTGAGTGTTCAGCAGTTTTTGACCAAAAACCATCATGACCCCCATGCCCCTCCCTGCCCGTTTATCCAATCTCACTCCAAGCAACTTTATTTTGTTTTCCCTGGTGAAAAAAAAAGTCCTTAAAGGGAAACATTTTGTTGATGTGGAAGAGGTGAAACAAAAAAAACAGCAGAAACTCTAAAAGGCATCAAAATTGATGAGTTCAAAACCTGTTTTAAGCAGTGGAAAAACATCTCAACAGGTATATTGCATCAAATGGAGAGTACTTTGAAGGTGACTAAAGTTTGAACATGTGAGAATAATACACAAGTTATTTATTTATTTTTTAACTTTTTAAAAAAGATTTTATTTATTTATTTTTAGAGAGGGAAGGGAGGGAGGGGGAAAGAGAGAGAGAGAGAGAGAGAAACATCAATGTGGGGTTGCTGGGGGTCATGGCCTGCAACCCAGGCATGTACCCTGACTGGGAATCGAACCTGTGACACTTTGGTTCACAGCCCGTGCTCAATCCACTGAGCTACGCCAGCCAGGGCAGAATAATACACAATTTTTGATAAATAAAATCCATGTTCATTTTTGGTTTTGCCCCAGCTTGTATTTTTACTGTAATTGAGGGTGGCCTTTATATGTACAAAATACTTCTTGGAATCATTCTTATTTTCAGTTAATATTCACTTTATTCAAATTCAAAACTTTAGGTTTTCAAAATTTTAGCTTTTAGATTTAATTTAAAACTGCTTTAGTCTACTTATAACTTTATTTTATAAAAATAGTAAAATCAAACAGTGTTAAGGGAAACTGGTCCCATTCAGAAATTTAGTTATTTATACTGTCTTAGCAATTTTAAAACACATTTATGAAGTTAATACTTTATGTTTTAGAATACTTCAGTTTGCTCACAAGTCTTCCCACATTCTTAACCAACTACATAGGGTGAATCTTAAGTGTCTCTGTACTGCTTACAATCTTAATAGAATTGTGTTGCACCTTTCAACTTAAATCACAAGTCTACATCAATTACATTTTTTAAAACTGGAATTGCAAGGTCAATCCATTGGATACTCAAATTTGTTACATTCTCTTAAAATTGCAAGCTCTTAAAATACCAAATAGATATAGGTTACCTAAAGTTAACCTCAAAATATCAAAAGTCTGAGTTGAATTTGCTTCGCATTCCTCAGTTCATATAAACTTTTCCAGGCTTAAAAAAATTCATAAAGAAACAATTATATCATTACCAGAAGCTGGGAGTCCTGTCCCACGGCACTGAGGTTACTTACAGGCCCGAAAGACCCAGATTTGGGTGGAAAAAAACACACAACATAATAATGGTTTCCAGGCCTCCTAAACTGTAGGTTATATTATTTTTGTTATAAAATGTTTAAAATCAAAAAGAAAGCTAAACTATAGAACTACCAATGGGGAGTTTCAAGATGGGATTTGATACAAGCTTTTAAGGTATCACGAAGCCTGTGTTGCTTATTTAGAGTTGGCTTCAAGAATCAGCCAGGGAATTAATTTGTGAGTGGCGTCGTGTTCTGGAGGCATCAGTGTTCGTGTCCAGGGCTTCGACCTGGCCACTGTGCCGTTTCCTCAGGCCCAGGGCTGCATGAATGGAGGGACAGCTAATGACTGGAAAGAGGACAGGCCTGTGGGCAATTAAAAAGCAAGAGTCAAAATCAGTCCCATGGAGTAAGGGTGCTTCACTAGCGCCTCAGAGGTAATCAGAACTCTGGGTTCTCAAGGGCAGAAATCAAGTTGAAAAGAACTTAGGCAAAAGGGCGATTTTCTGGAGGAAGACTGAGATTACGCAGGATTAAAGACAGAACAGCCAAACGACAGAATAAGACAACAGTCTGCTTTAGGAACAACCGGCAGCACCATCTGGGAGGTCCTAAGGAACAAGGCAGCTCCCTCCAGAACGGTGATTTCCGAGCTGGGGGAGAGTGGTTCCCAAAGGAAGGGGGATGGGCTGGACACAAGGGTCAAACTTGGTTCAGAAGGGCAGCTTGTTCCCTGGGCTTCATTAAGGCAGAACTAGTGCATTTCACCAGAAGCAGCAAGAATCAGGAGACCTGCATCTAGTGCTGACTCCTGTCACCAACAAACTTGCTGGCCTTGGGCAAGCAAGACCCTTCCCTTTTCTGAGCCTCAGTAACCTCGACTCCAAAGTGACTGAGAGTCCTTGAGGTGGATGTCCCAGCCTGACACTGCAGTTCTCTGAATAAAGGACAGAAAGGCAGATTGGGAAGCAAAGGAGAGGGAATAAGGCTAATGGGCAGACTGACAAGAGGCATTTCTCATACAGCAAACACCCTAAAGAAAATAGAGCTTTAAACAGAAAAACACTGCCTCCAGGGAAATTGCTTAGCCAGACAGGAAATAAGGAAGAGGGAGAGAGGCTGGTAGCCTGGGTTGCACTGAGGTGTCCAGTCACCCCACGTCACAGGGACAGAGCCAGGCCATTCTTGCAGGCAGACCCACTGAAGTGCCTCAGCCAGGCCCCCCACCCCTTATTTTATTTCTCCCTGAATCCAACCTCTGGCACCTTGATAGTGTCCAAAAGCAGAGTGACTATACATTATCCTGTTTATGGATGTTTCCCCTCAAGACACGAGCTCTGAACCTGTCTCTTCATAGCAGGTCAATGAACATTTGTTGGGTGGATGAAGGATAGATGTTTGGAAGATTGTGCTCCTCAGAGCTTAGAGCTGTGACATTCATGTCTGTATCTTCAGATCCAAGAGCCTGGCTCACTGTAGATGCCTAATACTTATTAAATGAATGAGTCCGTCGATCACAAAACTACCTTTGCTGAGTATGGATTAATCTGTGTGGCGTGGGCTCCAAATACGTTTGGCCCCTCTTTGTGCTACTGATTTTGCCAATGCACAGAAAATATTCAGTAAACATTTGTTAAATTGCAATGAAATAAACAATACCTCCTAAGAACTGCATTAAATTTAAAAATTGATCCTGGGAGCCACTGCTTTTCAGTTACCAAATCCTGTGTCAGTTAGGGACCCAAATCTACTTAAACAAGAAACGACTTCTTTCTGGAGTGAGAGATCCAGAGGTAAGCAGTGCCGGCCTGGTGCAATGAATCTGTAGCGCTCTGTTCCACCGACTGCAGGGAGTGGCCTTCTTACCCACAGTCTGACCACTGCTGCCTCTCCAGGCCTCCTGTCCACATCATTCAAGGTTGAATTGGGACAGAGGAGTAACACTAGGTCATCTTTCCCTCTTACCAGGAAAGTAAACTTTTTCTCTGAAAGACCTCAGATATTTCTACTTCCATCTCATGAGACAGAATTGTAACTTTGGTGCTAGGAAACAAAAAAATGCATTTCCCAGAATAGGACCAGGTGGGAAAAGAAGGGGTAAGCTGAGTCATGTGCCCCACTGCTCTTATACAGACAGGAGGGGTTTTAAAGATCTTTCAATTCTGTTATTTCTGGTACATTTAAGGTTCTTCATATTCCAGTCCTTAAAAGTAAATGTTTTAGACAAGCACCAGTTTTGGAATAAGGATTTTAAAACATTTTACCAAAATGAACTGTTTCAGATTCTCAAGGTGAATTTGAAATTCACAATTGACATGCTGTCTTGTATGTAAGTCTGGTGTCACAGCTTTGCTATCTGACTGAGGATGCTTAGTGGTCCATCCCTCCTGGCTGGATTGAGAACTGAAAACTGATGAGGGCCTAGAGCCAAAAGTTTGGTCCATCTCTGGCTGGATAGGATGAGTCTACTTGCCTTTCAAGGAGAATTGTGTGAGCTGGTCAAACACTTGAAGTTTTGATATGGATGAGAGTGGCTTCAGCTATAGGTTCACGCTTTGGCATTTTTTGTTTTAATATGTATCTAAGAGCCAGAATAGGGGAAAAAAGAAACTTTTCTCTAAACTCTGAATATGTTTATCAGGCCAACTATACCTTTCACTGTTTACTAGCATTACCATTTTAGATGTTCTAGAACCATATCTGGGCCCATATTTTCAACATGATATATATTTTTACTCAATCATAATGCCTGGCAGAATGGTAAGCATTTAACAAATAATTCTTTAGTGGCTAACTGGTATATATATATATATATATATATATATATATATATATATATATATATATATCTTGATAATGTCCCTGACTAATTTTAAACCTGACTTAGTCAACAAATTACATGATCTGGCTTAAATTTTACTCTGTAGATAATCAGGGAGATTGTATCTTTTAACATTGGACAAAGCAACTTATATGACTATTTCCTCATCCCAATATTTCCAAATTGCCATCAAATAGCACAATGGATCTGATGGCACCATCAAGTTGGAAATGTTATTTCAGTCTTTCTTTTTTTCTTTTTTGCATGGGTTCAACTTATTTACTTTTAAATTATATTTTATTAATTATGCTATTACAGTTGTCCTGATTTTTTCCCCCTTTATCCCCTCTACCCAGCAATCCCCTCTCCCTCAGGCAATCCCCCCACCATTGTTCATGTCCACCGGTCATACATGTAAGTTCTTTGGCTACTCCATTTCCTACACTGTACTTTACATCCCCACGGCTATTCGGTAACTACCTCTTTGTGCTTCTTAATCCCCTCACCTCTTCACCCATTTCCCCACCCTTTCCCATATGGCAACCATCAAAACACTCTCCAGGCCCTGGCT